TCCCCATCGGCAGGCAGGTGTTCAGCCATCTCCAGGAAAGCAGGGCTCCATCGTGTGTAACGGTTACTTGGGAAGACAAACGCCATCACTCCACACGTCCCCCCCTTCCTTCTTCTTCCCCCAGCTTTATATATGCTGAGCATGACATCATATGTCATGGAATATCCCTTTGGTCAGTTGGGGTCAGCTGTCCCAGCTGTGTCCCCTCCCAACTTCTTGTGCACCCCCAGCCCACTTGCTGGTGGGGTGGGGTGAGGAGCAGCAAAGGCCTTGACTCTGTGTAAGCACTGCTCAGCAGTAACGAAAACATCCCTGTGTTATCAACACTGTTTTCAGCACAAATCCAAAACATAGCCCCATACTAGCTGCTGTGAAAAAAATTAACTCTATCCCAGCCAAAACCAGCACACTGCTGACGGTCGATGCATAGGTAGAGCCCAAAGTGCGAGTGCTAGTTCTGGGTCCTTCAGTGTGTTCTCTTTTGTCCTGCAAAAGCAGGAACCACTTGTGATTTAGGAAACAAAAACAAAAAAAGAGGCAAGAAAAGAGCCTTTGCAGTAGGAGTCGTTTGATGCCTTTACTATAGCCTGAGCATTTTTTACTTAAGGGAAACTTTAAGGGAAGAAGTATGCCCGTTGTAAATATGCTACACACACGAAGATAGATCTCTCTCTTGTCTTCTGTAAAGTCCTCCTACCAATGTGGGCAATCTGTCCATGGATCTCTCTGAGACTTCGGAGCTTTTTCATTATCCAGCCAATTAAAGGGAAAAAAAAAAAAAAGAAGCCCAATCCAAATGCTAACTGAAGCTGACTGATGAGTCAGTAATGTATTCACTAAGTTTTAAGGAAAGCTGTATTAAGATACTTTGCAAAAATGGTTTATAAATTCTGAAATAGTGGCAGATTTGACCTTTAGCTTTTTTCTGTTCTAAGCAAATCTTGGTTTGAGTTCTTTTTTTAGAAATTTTTCATATTTTTTCCTGGCCCATGTTTGAGCATAATTCTTGAGAAATTTAAGTATAGGAAGTCAATAAATGTGGTTTAAGGAGTTCTGATGTTTAAGCAGTCACATACTTTCCTTGTTCTGTACATATGCTTGAGATGCAATTTGCTTACCTAAAGATGGTATGAATAGGAAATTTTGTTTATAAATTTTTCAAATTTAAAATGATGCAGACTATTAATCAACAGTTAAGTATGAAAGTATCTTCACAAGATCTTTATCAAGTAGTTAAATGCAATTGTCCCCATTTTACAGACAAAAGATGCTATCCAGATTGCAAATGATACAATAGGTTGTGTAGTGTTTTCTTTATAATCTTGTCATCATGAAGAAATTTTGATGAAGCACTGAATCCCTTCCCAATGTTTGTTTCTATTTTAAATTAATTTATGCATACATTGATATGTTATTTTTATGCTATAATTGTATTATTAAGAGTCACCCACAATGACCTTTTAGGGGTTTTGTACTTTTTTATTTTTAAAGAATGAACATTATATAAAAGTCTGATTGCATTTTTCATGTGTGAGCGCTGGGCTTGGATCTTGTCCATTAAGAATGGCATGTCCTTTTTTGATTTCTGACAGTAGTAAGGAAACTGAATTTGGAAGTCATGCACTTTTGACTAAAGCAGGTGCACAGGGTAAAAAGAAGAGCAAACCAACACCATGTGCGTCACGACAGCCCAATCCTTTGGACCAAACTTGTATTCATCCAGAGTCTTATAACATTGCAATGAGGTAAGCAGTGGGAAAGCTTTTGAACCATTGATGCTGTCAATTTTTAAAATGAAAGTACTGATTTTTCTGACAACGGCCTGCTCAGCCTTTTGAGACAGGAATACTTACATTGATTTGATGCTTTCTCCCCTTTCTTCAAGAAAAAGGTATGCTTCAGAAGAGTTCTTTACAAGTGAAGGGTTTGAATTAGTGTGTTTTGACTCGTATCTGCATGCAAGTTTTTCATTTTATTCTTTGGGGGTTTTTTGTTTTCACGTTGTTTTTCAGCGAGGAAATCAGTGAATTTTCAAAACTTTGCTAGACTTTCCTCCCATGACCCTGTCGTCTTCAAATTACCACTTTGCGCCTCATTGAGGCCACTTTTCTCAACTTCTCTCTTTATGCCACACGTCACTGTCAGGTTGGACTTTATGTTCGCAAAGTGTGGAGACAAATCATTTGTTCTAAAAATGTCTAAAACCTGATTTTTTTTCTTCTACCTTGCCTCCAAATAGTATGTAAAAGGGCATAATTAAAACATAATTTTATTTGTCCTTAAAAATGATCTAATTGAAATGCCATGCAAATTTTCAGTCAGCGGTAGTTTAATACCTCTGCATCATTAAGAACTGCTTTTACATTGTTCCTTATGCTCAGCATATGCCAAAATTTTTGCTTAGTGAATTTTGACCACCAGAATTTGTTTATTTTTGTGTTTGAGTGTGCACACAGGTGCACGGACATATGTGAGCATTATTACATGTGTCATTATTATGAGCCTTTAAAATTAAATTCTGATATTGCGAGATCTAATAATTAAGATGTATATATTAAGATCCCAAATACATGAACACCATGGTGGATTTACTAAGTGACCTTTGGCTAAAAGAAGAGAATGGGTTTTGTGTAGGTCAGAAAAAAATAATTAGGAATCCATGTGTGCCTCTGGTTAGGGGATACTGCAGCTGGTAAATGCTAGTATAAGCTGTGATCTTTTCTATCATCAGCCCTGGTTGAAACTGGACTCTGCTTGTCCTCTTGAGAAAACATTATCTCCTACCATAAACCAGCACATATTTATTTTTTTAAGTGACTTGCGGTGAACAGGTTCTTTTCTTAAAACATGCTGGAGCTAATTTCAGTAGTAGCTAGATGCTTTAGGATTCTTATGATATCTGTTGAGAAAATTATTCCTGGAGAAACAGAGTTGTGCTTCCTGTTTTATAAACAAAACCATCTTTAAGCCTCAGAGTTATGCTGAATTTCTGAATTCATGAAGCTGGAATTTCTTACCTAAAGAAGTCCTACAGGACCTTGCATTTTCCGGACACCTTCCCTACAGCGTGTGCTCTGTTCTCTCTCCAGTGGAGATAATTGCATATACAACTTCTTATGCATAGGTCTGTGTGCTTTGCTTCTGCTAGGCATGCAGGGCACTTTCATTTCCATCCTCTCCCCGCCACAGTTCATTCTTCTTTGTGCCTGATTCTAGGGCCACCGTGCAATTGCCTGTTAGAGTCCATGCTCTTTGCGCAGTGTGTAGGTAACTTTGGTTTCTCCTTTTCCACGACCATTTCCCTTTTTTTCTTACGTGTCAGCATTTGTTACTAGTTCTCTGACCTCTGCATAGTTACGGAAAAAATCAGGCAATGTCCCGATCTTAATGATCTTAGATTTGGTAAGCAGCTTATAGGGTGAGGAAGCTTGGTCACCCTTACTGGAAATTATTCAAAGTGAGTCCATGTAAAAAAAAAAAAAAAAAAAAAAAAAATTAAAAAAAGGCTATTCAAAATTAATGTTGATTTTCAATATTGTATTTCATTCAATTTAAATATCAAGTAGTCAGGATTTGGTTAATAGTCCATTTAGCTTTCCAGCCCTTGTACGCTAATAACATAATCAGTAAAAGTGTTCACAATGTTACCAGCTTTGCTTAAAGGCTGATGTGGAAAGATTGCTTCAGGGAGCAGAGAAGTGTAGCCCATTAATCGTGGAATACTACAGGAATTTATCTACATAGAATACCATTACAAAGGTTGGTCAGAAAATAAAGAATTGTGACTTTGTTTCCAGAGCAGCAGAGATTACTTTTATATCTGAAGTGGTGAGTGGGATTATTACTGCATAGGGTAGCTCAGGTATTCACATACAGTTGAAATTCTGGAGACAATTTTAGTAGGTATCACAAATCATAAAATTGTGATTTGGAATTTGGCTGGGAACTCAGGATTAGCACTACTTAAAAAAAAAAAAAAAAAAATTAATGAGCACAAGTTTTACATCTCAATCAAAAGATAGTGGTTTGAGTCACAGGCTTATGCATGATTCAGAGGAGGCTGCCACCTATTGCACAGCCAACACTGCTGAGAAGGTACCTTGCTGATTCTTAAAATATGTTCGGGGTCAAACTTGTTGGACTTCGAGAGCTGCAAAGCCATTGTAAAAGTATGACATGGCTACAGACCAGGGCTACCTGTCATGTCATTTCTCTTTGGCTAATGCAATTACTTTACGTTTCCAGCTGTGCCGTTGTCTGTTCTCTGTTTCTAACCAAACTCTTTGCCTTCCTAGATTGAATTTTCAGGTGATGTATTTAGATCCAAGTGCATGTTGTCGGTATTGTACCGTACAGGTTTTTTTATGCAAAAGAATATCAGTTTATATCAAAACAAATATAAAAACACAATATCTACTAATGGAACACCAAAACTAATAAACATAGCATCTGTCTCTAACTAACTGAATCAGTCTTTTCTGTTTTCTTTGGGCTTTTTTTCTGTTGTCTGTCTTCTTACATTTATCAGTATCTGTACACGTAGTTTGATGTGGGGGGGAAAAGTCTCAAAGTGCTTTCTATGAATGTACTCTATGTTCAACAATATTTTTCTTTTTCTTGCAATCAAAAGATAGTTTCCTTGAAAGGTCATTAAATATGAAGGTGATAACTTTTATGGTATAGATTGTATTAACATGCACTAGCTTGGTATCACAAAATGGTGTGGGGAAGGGGGCAAATATCTCTAATGGTTTTTTCATTGCAAATAGCTGTTTGAAGAAAAGAAAATACAGTTCTGCAGCAAACTGACAAAATCCAAGAAGTGTAGTATTAAAAATTGACACTGATGACATAAGGGCTGAATATAAACCAGACATTCTTCCCTCAGGCAACTAATGCTATAATTTAGCAATGATTATATATTTAAAATGACTTTTCAAAAAAAGCGTTTGAGCTGTTAAGCTTCTCGGAACTTATGGAAATGGCTTTCCAAACCAATTTGCTGCCTAAATACGAATTAAGAAAAAATTCTACTAGGAATTCAGACTGCATGGAGGACTCAGTCCAAAGCTTATCGGGGCTGTTGACGAGTTTTGCTGACTTCGATAGGCAGTGGATGGAACTGGGCTTGTAATTCCCTTTTGCTGAACCTATGTTCATGAGAAAGCTTCTGAGAGCCTGAAGATCAAATCATGTTCATGTTGTTGATTTGAGGTGTCTTATGGAAATCAACCAACATCCGAAGGACTTTTTAACATGTTAGAACTAAACTAGGTTTAAAACCTAATTGATAATTCTTACAATTTAAATTAATGTGCATGAGAAAAAATGAAACTGTTAGAAGTGGGTTAGAATTGGTATCTAATACATATATTTTTAAACAAAGTACATTTTAAAGGAGTTCTGTTGCTTTGCTGCTTTCAAAGTATTTTTCTTCTTTTTCTGTGCTTACCCAGAACTTTGTCAGGGACCATGTCAAGCTCACAGGTCGATCTGTGCTACCAAAGGGCAGAATTGTTGTCTTGAAGATGGGCAGATTTGATTCAAGGCATCAAAATACAGTATTACATACCTGTTACCACAGAAATTAAAATGAATGGAATAGATGCTGCATAAATGAGTCATAAAGGCTTCCTCATGCAAGGTCTACCACATCTTGTCATGAGAAAGTTGTTTGTGAAAATTTTATTGGATTAAAGGTTTTCATGGGAAATTACATTTAAATAAAATAAGCTGGTGATTTTTATCCACTGCTTCTATCCAAATTACCCAAAAGCAGCAGTCCACATTACGGATTTATGACATGCAAAATTATCAGTTTTTAAAACAATATTTTTGAGGGATAGAAGTTCACCAAAATTTGAAACCACTAATTTTCTTTTTCTGAACTATTTTGTAGCTTGAAAGGCCAATCCATTTAAAAAAAAAAAAAAATTGGTTAAAAGAATTGCTCCCAAGTGGTGACTTTGGTTGCCAAGCTTTAGGCTGGAGCCATTTTTTATGGCTGAATTAGAAACCCCTGAAAAATAGGGGTTTTTATAATGGAAACACTGATGTAATCTTTACTACAGTGGCACAAATGGTGCTGGTATGATTGATTTATGGCATTTAAACATCTTAACTTAAAATCTGGACAATTTCTGTAAAATAATTGGAAAACATCCTACTGGTGATTTAACACTCTCTGCAGATGACCAAAACATTTTTGTTCATGGTTTCCACACTGTCAGAGCTTGGCTTTGTCGTGTGCAGAGATCAAGCTTACGAACACCTCTACATATTATGAACCAGAATTTCCTAAAAGTTAAATTAAAAAAAAAACTTTGTAGGCAGTGTATTTTCCTGCAAAGCAGAGCTATGTTTTAAGTTTCTGAAAAGAACCAGTTTATAGTGGTAGAATCTTCTACATACAGTTAATACAACATGTAGAGCATATCCAATTTCTTGGTACATATTGTAAAATAACTGGTAGGAAAACCGAGGAAACGTTTGGGAAGTCCCAAGAAGTTACAACCAGGTTATGCTTATAAACCAAAATGCTAGAAAGAAAACGCAATGTTTTTTTCTTTGTTGTATCAGTGTGTTGGGTTCAGTTCGTTTCGTATAACTGAATCTTAACATCTACTGATTTTTATTTAAATCTCATAAAAATGCTCTTTGGTAAAGTTGGCGCTCAGAATGCATATTTGCTGCTCACAGATTGCAGCATCTGGCAGACAGGTTGTATTTCAGTCTGACTTAAAAA